GTTGGGGACTATTGCAGTAGGACATGAAGAAATGAATGTCTCTAGTGAAAATAATGATGGCTTCGTTGTTATCTTTTTATAGAAAGCACCCCATATGATGTATCTAGGCAGGTGTATTATCTATCTACATGGTTTCAACTCAGCAAACAGGAGCATACATTTTAATTTAACATTACACAGTACATCTCCATGAATGATGCCTCATTTTAGTTCCACATAATTGTGGTCTAATTTGACTACAACAGATAAAAATGTGACAAATGTGCTTACAAGGAGACAGGATGGTCTAATTATAGGAGCATGGGCTTTGGAGCCATGTGGAGTTTTTCCTTGCCACAAAAATGAGAGAGTATGAAGTTTGACATGGTGTGTCTTTAGAAACAGGAACATTTTCAGCTATCCTGAGATGTTACTTGTCACATAAAGCTTCAATTACCTAACTTAATCCAGGGTACATCTGTCTTTGGAATGCGAAATCAAGTCTTATTCACAATGAACTTTCATCTTTGTTCCTTTATCAACTGGTTGCTTTACAATATAAGAAAATTAATAAAGATTTGGCTTGAGAGGAGCCCAATCTCAAAGACACAGAGCTCCGAATTTGATCCTAAACCATCAAAAGTGAGATTCTTTCCATCTGTTTGTCTGTCTCCATGCTTACAAAATGACCTGCCATCTTTAGGCTTACCCAGGTGAGTATTTAAGCCAACAGAAGTTTGACCTTTCAGTACATTGGAGCTCCCACTGTATGAGCAAGTGGGTTCTGGAGATGTTTGCTGTCCCAAGTTCATGGTATGGGATCCCAGGAGCTGAATTGAGTCCCAGATTCCTGTGTGAGTGAAGACCTGCAGTGTTCCTACTCATCCGTCACAAGAAGCATGTCTCTCTGTTCTGTCTTGTAATGGGGTTTCACTTCATTCAGCTGAGACCTTCACCAACTCATCTAATGCCCACTAGTCTATTCTTCTAGGGTTGGACCCTGTTTTTGTAATGGCTCCTGTCTCCTCAATGTCTACGCTCCACCACCAAACACTGGTCCTTGAGCCAACCCAGATGAATTTTATGAATCTGATAGTTATCTGATTCTGAGAACCACAGCTTCCTCAGTGCCCCAGATGCCCCAAACAGTGGATCTCTGTCTGGGATAAACCCCTGGACTTATTTCCTGATCCTAATCCCACCTGACAACTGTGTGATCCAGGGTCAGCCACTTCTCCACACACACCTCTTTGCCTTCTGCCCTCATCCACCCCACTCTAGGCCCACTGGCCTTCTTCCTAGCTCCACTGGGACCTTTTAAACTTGATCCTACTTTTGGTCATTCATGCTAGCTGAGGCCTCTGCCCAGTGAAATCTTGCCCCCTAACTAACATGATTTTCTACTTCTTATCATTCAGGTCTCAGCTTACGTCTTAGTTTGGGTCGCTATATCAAAACCACCATAGACTGGGAGAATTATAAACAAGAGAAATTTATTTCTCATAGTTCTGGAGGCTGGAAGTCCAAGATCAAGGTGCTGATAGATTTTCTGTTGGGTGACAGTCTGTTTCCCGGTTCATAGATGGCTGTCTGTTTGCTGAATTCTCACAGGATGCAAGGAGTAAGGGGTCTCTCTGAGGTCTCTTCTAGAAGGACATTAGTACCATTCATGAAGGCTCCACCGTCATGAACCTATTCATCTTCCAAAGGCTCCATCTTCTAGCACCCTCCCACTGGGGGTTAGGATTTCAATATATGAATTTGTGTGTGTGTGTGTGTGTGTGTGTGGCGGGGTGGGGGGGTGCTATAGATCACAAACCTATGATCTATAGCAGCTTACATGTTATTTTTTCAGAAACATCTTCTTTGATGACCTCAGTTGCTTTCACGTCACTTTTTAAAAATAATTACACAGCGCTACGATTTAAAGGTATCCCCTGAAATTCACGTGTTGTAAATGTAATCCCCAATGCAACAGTGTTGGGAGGTGGAATAAATAAGAGATGATGAGGTCATGAAGGCAGCGTCCTCACGGATCAATGTCATTACCACAGGAGTGGGTTAGTTATCTCGAGTGAGCTTGTTATCACAGCAAGTCTGGCCCCTTCCTGCTCACTTGCACTCTCATACTCTGACCTGTTCACCTTCTGCCATAAAATGATGTAGCAGGAAGGCCCTCACCAGATGCCCCCACCTTGATAATGGACTCTCCAGGGTCCAGAACTGTGAAGAATAAATTTCCTTTTTAAATAAATTACCATCTATGGTTTTCTGTTATAGCAACACAAAATGGACTATGACACTTAGCATTTACCAGCAACTGACATGTAACTATTTGTTTATTTGTTTTAATTATCATGTACCTTTCTGTCTGTTTCTGGCCATTAGCCTCTTCCATGCCCTATCATCCCAATTGAAGTTCCATGAAAGCAGTAAAATCCCAGACATAAAAGATTTAACCTCATTTGTTAATAGTTTCTGCTATATCCCAGCAGGCAGGATAACTCTTGGCATATAGAAGCTGCTTAATTAATGTTAATGAAATGAGTCAGTGCTAATCCCCTCCTTGGTAGGAGGGAGAACACAGACCCTAACTCTGCTAATTTCCTGACCCTGGCCACCACATAGTTACTTCAGTTCCCTTCCTCTTCCTCACGGGGCCATTCCTGACACCTACAGGGCTGGGTTACAAAGTATGAAATAATTGTTCTGCATTTTGGTGCAAGAGTACTACTGTCCTTATTTTTAAATTAAATTCAAGCATATTAACAAAATTATGAAGCTTTTCCTTTATTCTCTTTAAAGAACTCCCTTCTTCACCATGTTGTTAAATTCTCCTTTCTAACTTTTTATAGATGGCTTATCACCAATAACATAAAAATCACACCTCAGGGCATTCCTGTTTCTCTCTGTATCTCTATCAGCCCTCTTATTCCTCAGCAAAGCCTGTGGATCCCCAGGAAGGGAGGTGCTGGAGCAGAGATGCTCAGGAAAGGGACTGATGGATGGGGCTGAACCAGGGAGCCGCCATTTAGTGCTGCCCACCCAACTATAACAGGCTGTCACTGGGTGTGACAGGCAGGATGAGGCATTGCAGAAAACTGAGAACTGCCCAGGGAAGGCAGTGATGAATGCCAAGCTGGGCAGGTCTGAAGCAGCAATAGAAATTCTGAGGCATAACTTGCAGTGATGTGGCTTAGCTGAGAACTGCTTGAAAACAGGCTGGAAAGCCAGCCTCTCAGGTTGCCATTAGGAACGGAGCAGCTCAAAATAAAGGCAGCTCTCAGGAGAGTCTTGACTCACATAGATGTGGTTGGGCACATGGCTGTTATTCTAACCACACCTACACACACATGTGTACACACACACCCAGAGATGGCACTGACTGTCAAATGTCAGCCCCTAATATAAAGTATGGAATATCTGTTTAATGGTATATGGACTATAACAGTAAAACTGAAAACAGGTTATTGACATTTTAAATGAAATCTTCTGCATGCTATTGAAATTCTAATTCCTAACAATTAAAAACTTGGCATTCCATAGAGCATTTTCTCTGCATTTAATATCATACTGGCAGTTGAGAAAACTGAAATTCAGAGTGGTCAAAAAAATCACCACAATCTCATACAGATTGTCAAATATTCTTGGAGAGTTCAACAGTACTGAAGAAACCACATTTTTTATTGGTTTTTAACTTTAAGCAGCTTAAATTAGCCTAAAGAAATTTTCATGAAACTATAATTTTTCTTAAGTTAGTAGGTAAAATTATATTTCTGGAAAAGAGAAAATTGGGATGGGGTAATTTTATTTACTTTACAAAAGAAATATTAATTTATCTACAGAATATGATATGGCTTGTTTAAGTCACAAATGAGAATATTTTAGAATAGCTTTATTGAGGTATATATACTGGTACATTTAAATAATCAAAATTATTGTATAAATAAATAATCAGTTCCAGACATATGAAGGCTTCCTATGAAACAATAAGAAAAAAAGCAAAATTAAAATGGGCACAATGTATTACCAGCTGAGTCATGGAAGAGGAAACCCCAAAAGCCAACAAATATCTGCTTGGGAAGGAACGCTAGCACTTTCTCAATTGCCTCCTTCTTCCTGGACAAGGCTGCCTAGCCAGAGACATATATTTCCTATTCATGAGACTAAGTACTCGCCAATGAAATCCAAGTAGAAGGGATGTGTGGAACTTCTGCCTTATTTGTCTACAAGAAAATTGCTTTCCTTGAGCTTTTTTTCCAAAAGCTGGTATGTGGCAACAACCTGACTTCAACAAGGAAGTTGAAGAAAAGGCCAATGACCTAAGGGGTAGCAGTGTAGCAAACGGAAAGATCCCTGAGTGACCGTGTGGAGCAGAGCCCTCTTGCCAGCCTGGACTGTCCAACATAAGATTAAGTAAGAAAAAGATCTTTTTTACTTAAATTCTTGCCTGGATTACTATGTCTGGAGGTCTCTTTGTTACAGCTGCTTAGCTTGTACACTAACACAATGACCAATCTAACTAGTAGTCTGGGAAATGAAAGTTAAAACAAGGTAACATTTCATACCCTAAGTTTGGCTGCATTTTAAAAGTCTGGTGATAACAAGAATTGACAAGGATATGGAAATGAGAAACTCTCATATATTTCTGTAAGGAGTGTAAATTGGAACAACTACTTAAAGAACAATTTATCAATATTACTAAAGTAGAAAATGAGCATTCCCTGCAACCATTCATTTCAATTCTAGGTGTAGTAACTTTACATACTGAGACATATCTCTAAGTTTATTACAACATCATTTGTATTAGCAAAAATTAGAAACAACCTGAATCTTCATTGTAAGAGGATGGATGAATAAATTGTGGTATTTTCATATGATAGAGCACAGTCAATAGTTAAAATAGATGAACTGCATCTGTATATATTAATATGAACAGACTTAAAAAATATTGAAGGAGACAGAGAGTGGAAGAACATGTGCAACATGACAGCATTAGATAAAAATTTAAAATATGCAAAGCATAACTCTGTATTCTTTTGCATACATATACATGTAGGAAGAGTAAAAAAAACATGATATAAAGGAATACATACCAGATTCTTGATAATGGCTGTTGCTGGGAGAGGAAGGTGAGGAAATCAATCTGCAGAGAGAAACAAAATACTACAACATTATTACTGTTTTCTTTCTTTAAGAAAAACCATGCAAAACTGCTAAGTTATTAACATTTATTATTTATGGTTATTGGGTACAATCAGAAACATCCAGCCAGGCACAGTGGCTCATACCTGTAATCCTAGCACTTTTGGGGGCTGAGGTAGGTGGATCATCTGAAGTCAGGAGCTCAAGACCAGGCTGGCCAACATGAAGAAACCCTGTCTCTACTAAAAATACAAAAGTAGCCAGGTGTGGTGGCATGTGCCTGTAATCCTAGCTACTTGGGAGGTTAAGGCAGGATAAGCACTTGAACCCAGGAGGCAGAGGTTGCAGTGAGCTGAGATTGTGCCACTGTACTCCATCCTGGGTGACAGTGAGACTCCGTATCAAAAAAAAGAAAAAGAAAGAAATGTCCTGGAGCTGAAGTACAGCAGGCAAATTGATCCTGTGTATCTGTGTATCTCTTCCCCCAACTCCCCATTCAATGGTATCAGGGAGGTGGCTTGGAATCAGCCATGGTGGAAGTGTTTATACCATAGAAATCAGCCAATGCTGCAAACCAGCAAATGCTATGTTTTCCTCTGGAGAGTTAATTACTGACAGTGACTAGCACACCACTGGGTTCAATGTATCTATTAAATTAACCTTGGTACTTTTGAATGCTTTAAAATATTTTCAAAATATAAAAAAATTAAAAATTTTAAATTTTCATTTTAATTTAATGTTTCATCTTATCTTCAGGATTACATTTTTTACATAAAGCATACTGCGTGTGTGTCCTGCTGGTGATGGAAAAAGAAATGAAAGTATCTCTCAAAAAGGTCAAACCAAGGTTAGGTTTTATTTGATGCTTGAGAAAACCTGACTCATTTGGGTTGGGAGAAAATTTTGGACTTCCCACTAATCAAAGAATTTCAAAAGCAAGGGTCTTCAAGTCATTTATGGCATCCCCTAGCTGATAAGAGGCTTCCTGCCTCATCTCAGAGAAGGCAACAGCTTTCATAACTACCAGAATGACTACCTTTGCCTCACTAAATTATAGTTGTTGAAACACAAACTTGATTTCTACTTCTGTCAAAATAAAGCAGAATTAAAATGATTAAGATATGGAATTGAGCCTCCCTGTGGTTTCAGCAGGCATCCATGATATAGAGTTAACAATAGTCATATTTCCTGAAACCCAAATTAGGACTTGTGACCATAGAAATACAGAGGACCATCAAGCAGAATGTTTGACCTCAGTTCTGTCATGAAGATTCTGGAGTTTCAGTCCTTCTAATTACAGTAGTAGATGATAAAGATGATTTATTTCACATTAAGCCCTTACAAGTGCTGTTAACCTCATTCCTTGGAATGATTGTTTTAAAACATCCATGTTTGCTATTAAAATCCTGCCACTTGGGATGCTGAGGCAAGAGAATCACTTGAACCCAGGAGGTGGAGGCTGCAGTGAGCCAAGATGGTGCCACTGCACTATAGTTTGGGCAGCAGAGTGAGACTGTCTCAAAAAAAAGTAATGCATATTAACTGGAGAAAATATAGATATGAAAAGGACAGAAATCATCCACCCACAATTTTATAACTTAGAGATAACAACCACTAACAGCTTAATAAATAGCATTTCAACCTTTTTGTGTACATTTATGTATTTTTCCCCAAAGCAATATTAAACTATGTCCACTGCTTTAATTGGCTCTTTCGACTTAAGAGCTGTCATTAACTTATTTCCATGTCATTAAATTTTCTTCAAATGTATTATTATTTTATATCTTTATACTGTGTCATTATATAACTATAACTAAATCTATTTCACCCATCTTCCCACTATTAAATATTTAGAGTATCTGCAATTCACCCATATAAGTAGGATGATGTGATCATCATGCTAATAAGTCTTTGGATGTATCCCTGTTCCTTTCTTTGGGATAAATCTTAATAACTGTAATTCCTGAGTCAAAAATTATAAATAATCTTTAATAATCTTTGAACTTTAATAATAAATCTTTAAACTTAATCTTTAAACTTTTTTTCATCTTTATGGAAATAGGCTATTCATGCAGAAGCTTTATACCATATACAAAAGTATGGAGTAAACTGAAGGCTTAAAAGTTAACAGCAAAAATTTTAACTTTAGAATAAAACCTATAAAATTATTTTTTACAGCATTGGTTAGGGCAGGGAGAAAATAGAATAAAAAGGTAACAAGAGATATAATTTGAGTATATTAAAATGTAAAATTTTGTGTAACAAAAGACTATAAAAGACAAAACAAAGACTGGGAGAATATGTCAACAATAATATCTCTATATATACCCTTATATAACACAAAAAGGTTAGGATTCAGAATATAAGATCTCATAAATCAATAAGAAAATGGGCCAGGCAGAGTGGCTCCTGCCTGTAATAGCATCATTTAGGAAGCTGAGGCAAGACTGCTTGAGGCCAGGAGTTTCAGACCAATACGGGCAACACAGTGAGACTCCATCTCTACGGACAAAAATTAGCTAGGCAATGGTGGCACATGCTTGTAGTCCCAACTACCCAGGAAGCTAAGGTAAGATGATTGTTTGAGCTCAGGAGCTTGAGGCTACAGTGAGCTATGATTGCACCACTGCACTCCAGGGTGACAGAGCAAGATCCTGTCTGTATATTAAAAATATGTATATATATGTGTATTTATATATACATATTTTATGTATAGTGTTTATATATACACATTTTATGTATATATAAATATGTATGTATTTACATATTTAAAAAATATAAAAATATTTATTATATATATTTAAATATATAAAAACATATACATATATAAATATACACATATTTATACATAAATATTTCTTACATATATAAGTACAAGGTAGGCAATACAATAGAAATTGTCAGAGAATATGAAAGGCGATTTACAGAAAAATGCAACCTGAATGGCTAAAAAACTTATGAAATATTCAAGTGAAGTATAGATAAACCAACACATCCATAAGATTAATGAAAATTTTCAAGTATTCCATCACATTTAACAAGAATATGGTATAATTGGAACTCTCATACATTGCTGAGGAGATCATAAATTGGTTCAAACATGTGGAGGAGCAATCTGTGAAGCAACTATTAGAGTTGAAAGTGTATGCTCAGCAGGATCAGGACCTGGGTGAGTCAAGCATATGCCTGGGGCCTGACATTTAAGGAGGCCCTCACTCTCAGGATCATGTAAGTGTAGCATTGCCACCTGAGAGGGAAGTCTTCCTTAAAAATTACACTCTGTGTCTTTGATTGCCTTATCCTGATCCTGGTTCTGATGTAGAACCAGGTTTCTTGTAACCTAAAAACCAATCATTCTGGACGTCCTCCAAGATGGCCGAATAGGAACAGCTCCAGAGAGCAGTTGCCAGTGACAGCTAAGATGCAGAATGCGAGTGATCTCTGCATTTCCAACCAAGGTACCAGGTTCATCTCAATGGGACTGGTTGGAAAGTGGGTGTAGCACAAGGAGGGCAAACCGAGGCAAGGTGGGGTGCTGCCTCACCCAGAAAGTGCAACAGGCTGGAGGATCCCCCCTTCCTACCCAATGGAGGCAATTGGGGACTTTTCCAGCCACTCCAGCACCCGGGTTGAGATACTGCACTTCTTCCATGGTCTTTACATCCCACAGACCAGGAGATTCTTGCTGGGCCAACAAGTGCCACGGGTTTACTGCACAAATCTGGGCAGCCGTTTTTAGCTGGTACCTGGAATGCCTATGAGACAGAGCCACCCATTCCCCTGAAAAAATGGGTTTGAATGCAGGGAGACAAGTGATCTGGCTTGGCAGTTCCCACCACCACAAACACCAGCAAACTGAAATGAACTGGCTTGAGATTTTCGCACCCAGTACAGCAGTTTGAGCTTGACCTGGGTTGGTCAAGCTCAGTTGGGACAAGGGCTTCTGCCATTACTGAGGCAGTCTGCCATTGCCAAGGCAGTTCTAACCTTACCTGTGTAAACAAGATCGCAAGGAAGTTTACACAGCAGCTGGGTGGAACCCAAGGCAGCTCAGCAACACCTCTGCAGGGAGACTGTGACTAGACTCTCTCCTTGCCAGGCAGGGCATCTCTGAAAAAAGAGAGCAGCTCATTAGGACTTATAAATAAAGACGCACCTTCCTGGGACAGAGCACCTGGGAAAAGGGGTGATTTTGAGTTCTGCTGCAACAGATTTAAACGTCCCTACCCAGCAGCCCTGAAGGGAGCAACAGAGTTCCCAGCACAACACTTGAGCTCTGATAAGGGACACAGTGCTTCCTCAAGTGGCTCTCTGACCCTGGTGTATCCAAAGAGACACCTCATACAGGAGAGCTCTGGCTGACATCTGGCAGGCACCCTTCTGGGACGAAGTTACTAGAGGAAGGAACAGGCAGCAATCCTTGCTGTTATGCAGCCCCTGTGGATGATATCTAGGCAAGCAGGGTCTGGAGTGGACCTCCAGAAGTCCTATAGCAGAGGGGCCTGACTGTTAGAAGGAAAACTAAAAATCAGAAATAAATAGCTTCAACAGCAACAGAAAAGATGTCCACTCAGAGACCCCATCTGAAAGTCACCAACTTCAAAGACCAAAGGTAGATAAATCCATGAAGATGGAGATAAATCAGCACAAAAAGGATGAAATCACCAAAAACCAGAATGCCTCTTCTCCTCCAAGGAATCACAACTCCTCACCAGCAAAGGAACAAAACTGAATGGTGAATGAGTTTGATGAATTGACAGAAGCGGGCTTCAGAAGGTGGGTAATAACAAACTTCGCTGAGCTAAAGGAATATGTTTTAACCCAATGCAAAGAAACTAAGAACTTGAAAAAAGATTAGACAAAATGCTAACTAGAATAACGAGCTTAGTGAAGAACATAAATGACTTGATGGAGCTGAAAAACACAGCATGAGAACTTCACAAAGCATATACAAGTTTCAACAGTGAATTGATAAAGCAGAAGAAAGGATATCAGAAATTGAAGATCAACTCAATAAAACAAAATGAGAAGGCAAGATTAGAGAAAAAAGAGTGAAAAGAAATGAAAAATCCTCCAAGAAATATGGGATTATGTGAAAAGACCTAATCTACATTTGCTCGGTATACCTGAATGTTACAAGGAGAATGAATCCAAGCTGGAAAACACTCTTCAGGATATTATCCAAGAGAACTTCCCTAACCTAGCAAGGCAGGCCAATATTCAAATCCAGGAAACACAGAGAACACAACAATGATATTCCTCAAGAAGACAACTTCAAGGTACATACTCATCAGAATTGTAAGGGTTGAAATGAAGGAAAAAATGCTAAGGGCAGCCAGAGAGAAAGGTCAGGTTATCCACAAAGGGAAGCCCATCAGACTCATAGCAGATATCTTGGCAGAAACCCTACAAGCCAGAAGAGAGTGGGGGCCAATATTCAACATCCTTAAAGAAAAGAACCTTCAATCTAGAATGTCATATCCAGCCAAAGTAAGCTTCATAAGTGAATGAGAAATAAAATCCTTTACAGACAAGTAATTGCTGAGAGATTCTGTCACCACCACTAGGCCTGCTTCACAAAAGGTCCTGAAAGAAGCACTAAACATAGAAAGAAACAACCAGTACCAGCCACTGCAAAAATGTACCAAATGGAAAAGACCATCAACAGAATGAAGAAATGGCATCAACTAATGGGCAAAACAACTAGCTAGTATCAAAATGGCAGGATTAAATTCACAATATTAACCTTAAATGTAAATGGGCTAAATGCCCCAATCAAAAGACACAGACTGGCAAACTGGATAAAAAGTCAAGACCCATCAGTGTGCTGTATTCAGGAGACCCACCTCATGTGCACAGACATACACAGGCTCAAAATAAAGGAATGGAGGAAGATTTACCTATCAAATGGAGAGAAAAAAAAAAAAGCAGAGGTTGCAATCCTAGTCTCTGATAAAACAGACTTAAAACCAACAAAGATCAAAAGAGACAATGAAGGGCATTACATAATGGTAAAAGGATCAATGTAACAAGAAGAGCTAACTATCCTAAATATATATATGCATACAATATAGGAGCCTCCAGATATATAAAACAAGTTCTTAAGAACCTACAAAGAGACTTAGACTCCCACACAATAATAGTGGGAGACTTTAACACTCCAGTTTCAATATTAGATCAACAAGGCAGAAAATTAACAAGGATATCCAGGACTTGAACTCAGATCTGGACCAAGTGGACCTGATAGACATCTACAGAACTCTCCACCCCAAATCCACAGAATATACATTCTTCTCAGCACCACGTCACACTTACTCTAAAATTGGCCACATAAGAAGTAAATCACTCCTCAGCCAATGCAAAAGCATGGAAATCAAAGCAGTCTCTCAGACCACAGTGCAATAAAGTTAGAACTCAGGATTAAGAAACTCACTCAAAATCACACAACCACATGGAAACTGAACAACCTGCTCCTGAATGACAACTGGATAAATAACAAAATGAAGACAGAAATAAAGATGTTCTTTGAACCCAATGAGAATGAAGACAACATACCAGAATCTCTGGGACACATTTAAAGCAGTGTCTAGAGGGAAATTTATAGCACTAAATGCACAAATGAGAAGTGAGTGAAGATCTAAAATGGACACCCTATCATCAAAATGAAAAGAACTAAAGGAGCAAGATCAAACAAATTCAAAAGCTAGCAGAAGACAAGAAATAACTAAGATTAGATCAGAACTGAAAGAGATAGAGACACAGAAAAACCCTTCAAAAAATCAATAAATCCAGAAGTTGGTTTTTTGAAAAGATCAACAAAATAGATAGACTGCTAAAAAAAAAAAGAGAGAGAAGAATTGAACAGATGCAATAAAAAATGATAAAGGGGATATCACCACTGATTTCACAGAAGTACAAACTACCATCAGAGATTACTACAAACAACTCTATGCACATAAACCAGTAAATCTAGAAGAAATAGATAAATTACTGGACACTTGCACTCTCCCAAGACTAAACCAGGAAGAAGTGAATCCCCGAATAGACCAATAACAAGATCTGAAGTTGAGGCAGCAATTAATAGCTTACCAACCAAAAAATGTCCAGGTCCAGGCAGGTTCATAGCCAAATTCTACCAGATGTACAAAGAGGAGCTGGTACCATTCCTTCTGAAACTATTCCAAACAATACAAAAAGAGGGAATCCTCCCTAACTCATTTTATGAGATCAACATCATCCTGATACCAAAACCTGGCAGAGATACAACTAAAAAGGAAAATATCAGGCCAATAGCCATGATGAACATCAATGCAAAAATTTTCAATAAAATACTGGCAAACCAAATGCAACAGCACATCAAAAACTTATCCATCATGATCAAGTCAGCTTCATCCCAGGGATGCAAGGTTGGTTCAACATATGCAAATCTATAAATGTAATCCATTACATAAACAGAACCAAAGACAAAAATCACATGATTATCTCAATAGATGCAGAGAAGGCCTTCAACAAACTTCCACAGACCTTTATGCTAAAAATTCTCAATAAACTGGTATTGATGGAATGTATCTCAAAATAATAAAAGCTATTTATGACAAACCCACAGCCAATATCATACTGAATGGGCAAAAACTGGAAGCATTCCCTTTGAAAATGGGCACTAGACAAGGTTGCCCTCTCTTATCATTCTTATTCAACATAGGATTGGAAGTTCTAGCCAGAGCAATTAGGCAAGAGGAAGAAATAAAGGGTATTTAATTAGGAAGAGAGGGAGTCAAATTGTCTCTATTTACAGATGACATGATTGTATATTTAGAAGACCCCCATCATTTCAGCCCAAAACCTCCTTATGATGATAAGCAACTTCAGAGAAATCTCAGCATAAAAAATCAATGTGCAAAAATCACAAGCATTCACATACACCAATAAGAGACAGAGAGCCAAATTATGAACCAACTCCCATTCACAATTGCTACAGAGAGAATAAAATACCTAGAAATACAACTGACAAAGAATGTGAAGGACCTCTTCAAGGAGAACTACAAACCACTGCTCAATGACATAAGAGGACACAATAGATAGAAAAACATTCTATGCTCATGGTTAGGAAGAATCAATATCGTGAAAATAGCCATACTGCCCAAAGTAATTTACAGATTCAATGCTATCCCCATCAAGTTACCATTGATCTTCTTCACAGAACTGGGAAAAAGACAACCTTAAACTTTATATGGAACCAAAAAAGAGCCCACATAGGCAAGACAATCCTAAGCAAAAAGAAGAAAGCTGGAAGCATCAGGCTACCTGACTTCAAACTATACTATAAGGCTACTGTACTCAAAACAGCATGGTACTGGTACTAAAACAGAGATATAGACCAATGGAACAGAACAGAGACCTTGGAAGTAATGCCACACACCTACAACCATCTGATCTTTGACAAACCTGATAAAAACAAGCAATGAAGAAAGGATTCCTTGTTTAATAAATGGTGTTGGGAAAACTGCCTAGCCATGTGCAGAAAGCTGAAACTGGACCCCTTCCTTATACCTCATACAAAAATTAACTCCAGATGGATTAACGATTTAAACACAAGACCTAACACCATAAATACTCTAGAAGAAAACCTAGGCAATATCATTCAGGACATAGGCATAGGCAAGGACTTCATGACTAAAGCACCAAAAGCAATGGCAACAAAAGCCAAAATAGACAAATGGGATCTAATTAAACTTAAGAGCTTCTACACAGCAAAAGAAATAATCATTAGAGTGAACTGGCAACCAAAAGAATGGGAAAAAATTTTTGTAAGCTACTCATCTTACAAAGGGCTAATATCCAGAATCTACAAAGAAGTAAAACAAATTTACAAGAAAAAAACAAGAAACCTCATCAAAAAGTGGGTGAAGGATATGAATAGACACTTCTCAAAATAAGACATTTATACAGCCAACAAATGTGAAAAAATGCTGATTATCACTGGTCATTAGAGAAATGTAAATCAAAACCACATTGAGATACGATCTCATGCCAGTTAGAATGGCGATCATTTAAAAAATCTGGAGACAACAGATGCTGGAGATGATGTGGAGAAGTAGGAATACTTTTAC